GCATGTGTCCCGGGCGCTGTGCATCCACACGGGCCGCGAGCTGCGCTGCAAGGTAGGCTCCCGGTGGTTGGAAGGTAGGGGTTGGCGCGGGGTGGGGGACTCGGTGGCGGGCTATGGTGCTCGGGGTCTCGCCTGCCGGCGCCTGGGGGCTCGGAAGTTGCCACCAACGCTTGAGTTGGGGGTCAGGCAGATAAGCGACTTGAGCCAGGTAAGGCAGCGTTTGACCACGTTCACCCTTTTGGGATCGAGGGGTTTCGGATGGACTGATAGAATGGGGCCTCGGTGGTCAAGAGGAAGAGCAGTATTCAGTTTGCTTTATTTCTGTAGTATTTCCTTAGCTCCCCGTGCAGCGCATGGCGTTCCATATAAGTTATGGAATTGAAATGGATTCCAGGGCCATGCCATTCCCCTTCTCTCATTCTCGCTCCCCCCGCCCCTTGTCCTGGAAGGACGCCCTGCACCGGGAGCCTCTTTGGAGCTTGGAGCAGCCGGCAGCTCCCTCGCCCGGGTTTCCAGGCACCGGGGCTCAGCTGTCTGTGGGCTCCGGTCTTGGAGATTCCAGCTTGAACCCGCGGGGGGACAAGAACCCCGTTCTCCCCAGAGAGCAGCCGGATATTGGAAAGCCCATTCCGGCTAGGAAGGCTACCTTCCATTCATGTCTTTATTTGCCGGCCAGGCTTTTTTTCTTTTTCTTTTTCCTGAACATAAGGGATTCCATCCAGGAGGAGATACCACTCCTAGAAACTGGATCCTCCAGCGCCCAGAGACGCAGAGCACTCCCACAGGCCACCCTTGGCGAGCCTCAACCCCCGTCTCAGGCAGCCTGAGAACCCTCTGGGCTCCTTTTCACCCGAAGGATAGGGTCACCCCAGTTAAAGTCGCTCTTTGCTTTTCCGCAGCTCACCTGACCCACCCCTTCCTGGGTTTGCTGCTGCCACCTACTGTCCGATCAGAGTGAAATTTCCTGGTCAGGCCCAGTTAAAACCGGGGAAAGGGTGTCTTTTCTTCTGGGTGGCTGGGGGGCTAAGAGCTGTTTGGGGAAGAGTCTGTGTGCGCAATGGGTGGGGTGCAGCGGAGGGGGA